TTCTAGCACCACAAGAGAAGATCATCCTAGCACCATAAATTGGTTAAGTGATGATGAATAGAGTACTTTTTGTAATCGGAGCCCATAATTTTCTAATCACTTTGGGTTGTAATTTATTATTTATTGTTTGTATTATTTATGTTGTTTCCAATTTATTGAATATTTATTCAAATTAATTTGGTAAGTTATTTATACTAAGAGAATATTTATTGAAATGACAAAAACACACCAAATAAAATTACATAAGCATACAGAATAATTAAAAACTCACTAAAAAAATTACATAAACATACCAAATAATAAAACACACCAAATAAAATAACATAAACATACCAAATTCAAAAAAACACACTAAATGAACTTAATTATCTTCAGCTTGTTTCAATGCCTACTGGTGCTCTATCAAGTCAATTTGTCAGGCATTGTGCATGTTTGGCATTTGAAATGCAGTATATCGTTGAATAAGCCTTTCATTGTAACGTCCATCCCTTTGTAATGGCTCATGTTGCACGGGCTCATCGGTGGCGTCATGAGCACAATATATACGTGTTCTTGAATTGTTCATCGTGTCTGGCTCATATTCATCAACGGCTTCATAATCGTACTCATCTTCCACAATCATGTTGTGAAGAATGATGCACGTCATCATGATGGATCGAAGCGACTCTACATCAAACAATCTGGCAGTACTCCTGACGATTGCCCAGCGAGCTTGGAGGATACTGAAACAATGCTCCACATCCTTCCTGCACCCCTCTTGACAGCTTGCAAAGTGTTTTTCCTTTGCACTCTGCGAACGTGGCACTGTTTTGACAAATGTTGACCATCCCGGGTAAATGCCGTCAACTAGGTAGTATGGCCCGTCGTACATACGTCCGTTGACCTCATAAGTAACTTTTGGCGCCTCCAGAATGATACTTTTTGCTCATTTTCTGTCCCCGTAAGCGCCTTGCCGTGCACTTGGACAGTTTTTCCACGTCCAGTGCATACATTCAATGCTTTCAATCATCCCAGAAAAGCCACGCATCTCCGCTTTCTTCAACAGCCGTTCCAAGTCCATGTTTGTAGGTTTGCAGAGGTACTCAGCGGTGTAGATAGGTTCGATTGCTCCGCAAAACCTCATCAGGGACTCAAGAATGGTTGATTTCCCCATCCTCGTTATCTCATCGACTTGGTCTGCAGATGCTCCATATGCAAGCATCCGCAAGGCAGCAGTAATTTTTTGCTCTGGCAGTAGACCCATAGCACTAAAAGCATCTTTCTTTTGCACAAAGTAAGAATCATGGTTGCAAACAGCAATCATGATTTTGTTGAACAAATGTCATTCCATTCTAAAACAATGTCTAAAGTATGTATCAGGGAATGCACTATTAGAAACAAACTAATCATCCAAGAGTTCCATACCTCGTCGTTGCCTACTTCTATCAAGGTTTCTGGAACGGCTGGGCCTGCAGATCTGAGCCGTAGCTTGGATGACTCAACGGGAATGTGAGGTTCTGCCCATTCTTACTTCGTCATCTCTCCTTCTACGCTCCTCATCCTCTTCCCTTTCATTGTTTGCCCCCTGGTGATTGAACATTGCTTCTGATTGGTTAAACAATTCTTCCTTTTCCTGATCGAGTTCCCACATCATACTTGAGGAAGAAGAAGACATTGTAAGAAAGAAGCAAAAACTATGAATAATGATACAGATTTTTGTGAAGAAGGAAGTAGAAACTATGAATAATGGTAGAGATCTTGAGAAAATTAGTGTGAGATTTGTGAGGATGGATGGTGGATTATATAGAAGATTCAGAAAGGATTAGGTTGTACATAATGCCACGTGGCATGCTATCATTCGTTAAAAATCTGATGGAAATCTATCTTCAAAGATTGTGAACAGATTATGACACGTGGCATGCCGTCATTCGTTAAAAATCTGATGGAAATCTATCCTCAAGGATTGTGAACAGATGACACATGGCGCGACGTAATTGGTTAATAATCTTATCAGAAATCCATCACCAATAATTGTATTTTCGGATAATGACACGTGGCATAACGAGTACGATTAAAAAATTTATCGGATATTACAATTAAAATTATTTAATAATACTTCGGATAATGACACGTGACGCAATAAGAACGATTAAAAATCTTATCCGATATTACAATTAAAATTATTTAATAATACTTCGGATAATGACACGTGACGCAATGAGAACGGTTAAAAATCTTATCCGATATTACAATTAAAATTATTTTGTATTATTTTATAAATAAAAAAAATACTAATATTTTATTGCCTATTGCCAGGGCTATTGAAGTGTAACGGTGGTGATGCAAATGCTATTGCCAGGGCTATTACTGTTTATTAAGGGCAGTTACTGTTCATTAGGTGGATTGAATAGTGCATTGCTTAGGGGGAGGGCTCCAACGCTACATGAGGGGCTATTTGAAGGGCTATTTTTACTCTCAAAATTTTAAATATATTCACCCAACCAAACTTACCTTTAAATAAAAGAAAAATAAAATTTAGATATAAGTTTTAAATATTTTTATCATCTTCAACAACTTGCAATCTGAAGCAGTCACATGTACTTAGTGGCGGAACCAGCATGAGATTATTGATTGTCCTTGATCCCAACAACTTAAAAAGTTCATGCTTATTTGGTTGAATATTATATTTGATCCCTATAAATAGCTAAAGCAAAATTAAATTACAATCTCTTCTTCCTACTACTTTTATTTTTATATATTATATTTGTCTTCCTTTTCTCTCACAGTATCATACATCCACTACCGACAAGCCTCTACAAATAATAGTAGTTGTAGACATATGTTGGCATAAATTTTTGGCAGATGTTGACAAGAATTGTAAGGTGTTTACTAGGTGCTCAACAAAATGGTCCAATGAAACTTTTTTGGTTGATCTAATGGCCTCATTACTCAAAAATCCTAGCTACACTAATGATGTACCCCACAGCGTAGTCAATATTTTACCGACTTGAAAAAAAAAGTAACATGACACAAATATTATTTTATGTATTATGTTATGTGGAGTCCAATGCTAATAAGATAGGGCATTCTTTCAATAGACTTGATACCGATTCACTCTTAAAATTGTGAACCGAACTAACAAGATAAATATGTGGTTCAATTCAGTTTTCAAAAGATAACCAAACCATCCGGACCTACTTAATTTTGGCAGGGCTCGGCCGGTTAAATTCGGTATTGGTCCATAGCCCATTTATTTTCTTTGCTCTGTTCTTTTCAGTTTCTGGTTGCATCGAGTCACCAAGTCGCCCTTGTCCCTTCTCCGTTCTTCTCAGTTCTGAGGTGGGTTCTCTACTTCTTTCTCAATGGTTGCCTTAATGTATGTTATGTGTGATATGGGTTAATTGTTAACTGATTTTTTATTAAGTTGATTGCTTTGATTTTTATAATTAATTGTTTTCTGGTTGCTCTAAACCTAATGCTTTGATAATTGCTTGTTAGTTGGTTGCAATTTGTGTTAATTTCTTGCTACTCCTGATGAACTTTAGTTTGAGTTAACATTATTTGCCGTTGACGAGGGCAATGAGATGACTCATGTTTAGTTATGTTGGTTGGGAACTTAGTACTTTGATATTCTGTTATGTACGTTGAATTTAAATCTTTAATAGAAGTGACGTATTTTTACTATTTTTCTTTCAATTAGTTTCTCGAATCGCTGTTTCGCTTTACCAGTACCGTCTTCTTGCTTTATGACAATGAAGAGAGGCCATGATCTTATCCATAATGTCAAGATAAGTACATTTCCATTGCCATGAAAACGATACGAAAAACATAAAGTTCAGAAACTTATATTCAACTTAACATGAATTACTGAATGCGGTTGCTATTTTTGTGTGCGGCCTTTTCATTTGTTTACAATAGCAAATGTTGCAGTGTTACGCTACTCTTTAGTTCATTATGGTATGAACTATGAAGTTGCTGCTTATAGTTAGATGTCATTAGGTTGGGTTCATTTGAGATACTGTCATCTGGGCTTAGAGATTGCTTGTGTAACATAATCATGTTATGGTAAAGTTATATTTTTCTTGATAGTTTAATACACCGGTCCTACCCAATGTGAATGCTTGTGTTTTTACTACTGCGTTAGTTCATGTTGCTCTTTTGTAGATATGCCGATAACAGTAACTGAACAAAAATTCTGGATTGGATTTTGCATTGGGTATAATTTGCTATGATAAATATAATTCTACTGATGTACCGCCTCCTACTATAAGAGCGAAAGATCGGGTAAATTCTATAGAAGGGGAGGGATTTGTGGTTTATGAAATTCAAACTTGAGCTTTACATCATTCAAAGAAATAATCAAAAGGGCAATCCAGAAATCAGCCGATGGGTGGCTATGAACTCCGATCTTGAGTATGATTACTTCCATCATCGACCAACGTACTCAGTTAAGTACGTTTTGCGATACCATGTGTTTATGCAAGCTCGAATAAGGCATCTAGACTAGGAATCCTCAAGAGGAGTTTTGTTCCAAATGACTCTGATACATAGAAATGCCTTAGCTAAGTCAACTAAATATAGTCCGACCAGAAACTCTCAAGTCTGACACATAGGGTTTGACAAAAGTATTCCGAACATATTTCCGATTCACATGCGAGTGACCAATTCCCTAAAGTTCGTCTAAGAGTCACTAAGGATGAACACACAATTTGGGCTGGAAGGAAAGCCCCTTCCTAGTGACATGTTGCGACCTTTTTGTTAGATCCGGCAGTTTCTGACATGACACGAAAATAATGGGTTTCGGATCAACACAATAACTAATCGGGTCATTAACGGGTATACACATGGGTAACCCATTTCGACCGGTTAAGAAAAAAATTATTTTGATAATTTTAAAGTTTAATTAATAAAAGATTTATTATAAAATACAATAGCCATATTTATATATACAATATATTCTATATTAAATATAAAATTTTGTATTATTATTCTATATAAGTTAAAAAAAAAAGTTTTAGTCATTATTTATTTTTTGACACACCTCGTCCCGAAGGAGGGCATGCTGGCCGTCACGTGAGAGTGACGTAACCATTTACACAGTTCGGAAGCTTTACAAATATACAACTTCTAAGATGAACCACCCGAAAGTGAGTTCTCATTCGGTCCATTCTGTCAGAACACCGTTGAATTTCCTCGTAGTTACCACACCTTTGCAATTCTTGAACCTGGAGGGGCGCAAAACCAAAATTGAGTGGGTCAGTAAAACAAATCTTTTCCAAATCCAAACACTTCTCAAAACTTTGTAACCCCTCTCCGTAAAACTTGTATACTTTCCCAGAAATAAAGTATATACTCATATACGTAATATATCTCAAATTATGCTAGACAATATGAATGTATGTCATGCCAAGTATCATAACAGAATGCTCATCATCTCTATGTGAATATGATGGAATAACATATAATCAATTCAACATTCGGCTATAAACATAGTTCATACTCTTTCATTCTAATCAACTCAGCCCTCGGCTGTATATATAACTCATAATTAACTCATCATAATCAACTCAGTCAGCGACTGCATATATAGCTCATAATCAACTCATCACATCAACAGCATAACATCTGGCAGCCGGAGTCACCTAACGTGACCTGTACGGCTGCATATAGAGCTCATATCACACTCACAATAACTAAACAACTGAACCTGCCCACGAGTCGGAACCACCTAATGTGGTCTGTACGATAGGCCTGGGTGTTACGTATATATACTTTCTAGTGCTACGATCACGTAAGACTGGGCGAATAATCGCACGTCACCTACGAGTCGGAACCACCTCATGTGGTCTGTACGACAGGCTATGCACCTAGCTTGGATCCAAGCTGAGCATAAGGTGCGGGGAGGTGAACATCACGTGAAGGACTGGCCCTGCTCAGGGCGAGCACTAACACCGGGGATCAGGTTATGAGCTCTCTAAGCATCTCAAGCTACTTATTCTTCATATCTCAATCGTATTTCAATCATATCACAATCATATTTCAATTATATCACAAACATATCTCGATCATGTCAAAATCGCATCTCAATCATATCACACTCATATTTCATTTGTATTTCCATAGTATTTCAATCGTATACCAAACGTATTTCATGCGTATATCGAATGTATTTCATACGTATATCAAATGTAGCTTACCTGGGCCTCCTCAGCACCATGCAACAATATGCATAATTATGGTAATGCACATATTAAAATATGATGCATGTATGACAGGATATTTAATTCGTATTTATTTTAAAATACGTTTTCTGGGAAATACGTCAAGTATATATATATGGAAAACAGAACTGCCCACTCACAGATCACATCGACGTCTCGTGGGTCCCTGAGCCTCCCCTAGATTGGTTACATTCTTCTTCTGTATAATTTTCACCTATACAAAAAGTAACCAAATTGACATTATTTAACGCGCATACACCAAACATTCGTCAATAACTTTCTCATACGTTGCTCTATTTGGGTATGTGAATATACCACGGTGATCTACACGACGTCACGAACGCGTGACAATTTTCAGAACTCAATTTGGAGGTCCCACGCGCCCTCACGCGCCCAGTCTACGCGCTGCCCACGCGCGCGTCTTCTTCCTCGCGTCGCCGGACTGGTTTCGCCGGAGGTGGGTGTTTGCCGGAATTTCTGGGTAAATTTCAAAGTGTCATAACTTCTTCGTTTCTTAACCATTTTCGACGTTCTTTATATCAAAATGAAGGTATTGACGAGACGAACACATCCATACCTGCCTTGACCCCTAACTCGCCATGGATTCGCCAGAAAAAGCCTCGAAAGCTCCGGCCAACTTTGAACCAAGCTATCCCGACGTCCAAATTTGTCCAACGAAGCACTCCGAGCTTCCTTAGGACCTCACCAAGCTTCCTACAAGCTTCAAAATCCCAAAAACATCAAGCTTTACGTGTGCATGAACAGTGCACACGCACAGTGAAATCGAAATCCATGTTTTCCGAAGTGAAACTCACCTGAAATTGGTACCATCGTGTTCGTGTGGTCCTCAGGAATACGATGGTGGTCTTAGATCCTTCGTTGGTATAGTTTTAGGGTGGTTTGTGGGTGGTCCGTGTGAGTTCGAAGGAGAGAGAGAGAGAGAGAGCTCTGAGATTTGTGAGGGAGAAGAGAGAGAGAGACAAGGTACGGGAATGAGGGAGAGATTTGAGGGATGTGGGATCCTACCCAATCCCGAAATCATCAAGTTACAACATATTTTACGCCCCTTAGTCCCGTTTAAGGGCATTTTCATAACTTCACGTCCTCGGAATTAAAATTCCGGGACGGGTTGTGACATTTTTATTATGAGAGTTCCTTATTATCATTACTAGGATAAATTTTACTTCACATGTTGTCCAAAATTAAAATAAACTAGTATACTATTTGTATAGGCAAGAACTAAGAAGACATTCATACAAGTATGAAAAATATGAAAGAATATACATAAACACTCGTGATTCATCATTATTCCTCCATGAGTAGATAATGGTTACACTTATATTATCATTTAGATTTTTAAAATCCTCCAAACCCTCATGAATAATGTTTTTTATTTGAGGGCAAAATTAATAATAATTATTATAGAAGTGTAAAAAGTGTAATATATATATATATATATATATATATATACACACACATACACAATCACTTATGGTGATAAGCTTTACAACTTTCATGAAGGGATCAGCTTCGAAATCCAACACTATAATCCATAAACCTTAAATTTATATTTAACTGTCGATTATCATTTATGTTTTATTCTTCTTACTGAATTTCATTTTTTAAATTTTCTTTTTTGAAAACATGATCATCTGGCGGATGTAAGAAGATGAACGGTTCAGATCTTTGATATTACGTTTCGATATTTACAGTTATCTGAAATATGAGTCGATGTCATATAGTTTTTAGAAACTTTATAAACATTAAGCAATATTTTCACCAACCGTAAAATTCGAATATAATATCAACGATCCAAACTGTTCATCTTCCTGCATACTCTAATGACACACTCCGACCAAAATCAAGGTGTGTTGGCCGTCACGTGAGGGTGACGTAGCCATGTTCGCAGTGTAGAAATGATAATGATATAAAGAAATGTGAATAACCAAGAACCAAGCTAACTAATTTACACTAAGAAAATAAAAGTGCAATCCCGATATTTAAGTGTGGTTACACAATAATCAGAGCATACGTAGCCAAAGTGCAGTCCAGCAGGACAAGTACTAATTATACAATATTAGAGGTGGTCCTACATTAGTGATAATATGTCAGCACCGCCGTCAATTCCTTGTAAGCCACCAACAAGCACTCCTACCTAAAACCTGGAGGGGCGCAAAACAGAAAGTGTGAGTGGGCAAAAACAAAGCTTTTCAAAACCATTTCACTTGTCAAAGGTAATAACCCCTCACTGTAAAACTTGTATAATTTCCTAGGAAATAGAATATATATGTATATCCAAACCATGCTCGGAATAGCAAAATCCACATATATGCCATGTCAAATATCTTAGCATAAAATATGTAAGCCATGTGATATAAATCAATGTAAATGATATGTCAGCCGAAGTCACTTAATATGACCTGTACAGCTGAATCTATAACTCATCCATCTAGCCGGAGTAACTTAATATAACATGTACGGCTTAACCAATAGCTCAACAAGTATGATTGCACACGAGTCGGAACCACCTAAAGTGGTCTGTACGACAGGACTGAGTGTAAATAAATATGCTCAAGTGCTACGATCACGTAAAGACTGTGCAAATGATTGCGGGTCACCTACGAGTCGAAACCACCTATAGTGGTCTGTACGACAGGATTGTGCACCTAACTTGGATCCAAGGTGAGCGTATGGTGTGGGAGGTGAACATCACGTGAATGACTGTGCCCTGACCATGGGCAACAGCACTAACACCAGGGTGTAGGTGATAGTAGCATATTCATGCGACTTAGTTAGCTTTTTTTCTTGCATTTACATAGTTAGTTTCTATTTATTATAGTGATTTAAGCTATTTTCGTGTGTTTGTAGGTTTAAATGGCAAAAGAGGTAAGAAAGTGCATTTTGGTGCATTTTAGAGCATTTTTGGGTTGGAATGGATAGCTTGCATATGGAGCAAGGTGGATGGACGAATTTAAAGTTTCAAAACAGGCTAGGAATGTGCTTAATATCTGGAGAAACAAATTTGGAAGCTTGGAAGATAAGGAATCAGCTAAGAAGAAAGAGACATTATCCAAATTACCTTGTCTTATCCAAACCTTATCCAATCTTATCTTTGAAGGAAGATTTGTGAAAAACATGTTCATTTAAGCAACATCAATAGCATGAAATTAACAATTAAAGGCGGAATCATGCTTGTATGCACTTAAAAACAAAACATTTACCCATGAAATTCAAAGCCTAGTAGATAGGTGAACCAAGACTCAACTCAAAACAAAGTGAGTTGAGAAATCACTACCTTTGTAGATTCCTCTTTGCATAAGCAAAGGTTAATCACCCAAAGAAAGGGCCTTCATTCCTTGCATCTTAGATCCATGGATTTGGATGGATGAAAAGGTTTCTCCAAGTTCCCAAAATTGAGAACCTCTAATGATTCATCACCAAGGCATAATGAAGAAGAAATGAGTGACCTTGGAGGAGTTTGATTGCTAGATGATCCCTCCAAGGTGGCCGAAATTTTTGAGAGAAAGGAGAGCTTGTGTTCTCATCATTTCCCCAAAAATAACCCTTGGTAAATTTTAGGCTATCAAGTCCTTTATATAGTCCCTTCAAATAAGTGACCTAATGGACCAAAAGCCCTATTCTTTTACACATGGCCTATAGGTTTATTGGGCTTTCAAGCCCTTTGTTTTATTCAAGTTGTCATACAACTTGAGTTAATGGGCTTGACATTCAAATCCCATTGGGCCTTGCGGCCCAAAACTAACCCGAGGTCTTTAACGAACTTATTCGTTTGATTAATTAACATATTAATTAATCCTAGCCTTAGATAAATAATTAAACCATTTAATTATTCTTACTCATCTCCGTTGTTTCTTCAAACTCTACCTTACTCGGTGAACGATCCATTAGGTTCCTTTTAGCGAGACAGTGGGCGATTAAAACTCTTTCTAATCGATTGTGAATTGAAACTTACTTTCAATTCTCCCGTTAGTGATAATACACTTTTAGGGCTTCCACAAACCATGGTTGACGCCTAGCAGCATGTCATGGTTACCCAAGCTAATCAGAAGAGGTGGAGAACCTATTCAGTTTAGGATTACAAATGCAATACGGTCTTTCTCTAATACAATACTCTTGACCACATTGTTTGGTTTGATAGTTTATTCATGTCTACTATCCAATGTGAATCTTGTACTTATATGATTACCTTGAATGTGATCTGGAACGCATTCCAACATCTCATTCATACTCTGGCCAGAGATTCTAAATCATATCATAGAGTATTCTCCCTCAAACAGTTTGAAGGTTAGAGATCCCTTGTTGCGCATTCACGTGCCTCCATGGCTAAGTGGCTTAACCCCAACGATGCCATGGACACCCTCATGATGGAGTGACTTTGACATAATCAAAGATTAAGGACCTAACCACAAGACAACTGTGATGCCTCAGGTCAAAAGACTAATTTGCATTATCCCAACCATGAGTTCTCATGTGACATGAATATGAAAACTCTTCGTTGATCGTGTTCAGTGAACTCATTCTTTATTGAGCACCTACGTACTTGTCTTGATGTCACACACACCAATGACTCGAGACTAGTCACTCTCCCTGAGAGAAGACATAGCACGTACTGATCTTAACGGACTGTTAATGCCCAATTGACAATCCTATGATCAGGAACGTTTAGGATGTGTCAACGAAAGAATGGTCTCATGAATCTAACTTCTTTAGATCGCATTCTTCCAATCACATATTCCTTGGACTTATCGTTTAAGCATATAACATTTATATGAGACGGCTCAAACAATAATGTTTGCCCTTAATATTAAACTAGATTAGTTTAACATGTGAAATGTCCATAAAGTATCATCATATGATTGGTTTTAGGGCACATTTCCAACAATCTTATCCTATCCTAATCTTTTGCTACCTTAATTCCAACTGCAAATGAGACTCCTCTTCACATTAAATCACCTAAATATTAAGTTCTAGAAGCCCTATTCTCTGCCCTAAGGTTGTGCCGCATATCTTAGCCCTTTTTCTTCTAGAAACCTGTCACAATATCCTTTCTAGAAATCCTAATTTTTGCTACACCTAACCCTAACCTTTTCCCCCTAGGATTGTGCTATCCGTGCCCTATCCTTGTCCTCCAAGGCTTTGTGTCGTGAAACCTTAGCATATAAATACATAAATCTGCCGTAGAAAATGAGGGACAACACACATGAGAAAAATTCAGAAAAATTCAAAGAGTGTGCCACAGGTTTCTAAGATTTTTTAGAGACTTATGCCATGCAAGGAAGCAAGGAGAGGAAGAGTGCCGTGCCCACCACCATCCAAGGGAGTGCCGCTGCTTGCTTTAGAGTGTTTGAGCGTTTCTGGGTTTTTTCTATCCTTTGTTTTAGTTTGATGTTTATTTTAATTTGATTTTCAATTATGATGAACATGAGGAACTAAATTCTTTTTAGTTAAAGGCGAATTCAAAGCCATGGACATGTTTTATATGAATTGATTTGCTCTAGTTATTGTTTCGTAAAACATGAATGTGATTTACTTATCTGTTTGATTGATAGCTTTTTCTTGTATGTTGATTAAGGATGCATACTTAGTTTGCATGCATGAATTTAATGCTAAAATAAAAGGAAATTTCACCTAATTGTTATGAACTTATATTTATAAGTAGTTAAAGTCACTAGTCATGGTTGTGTTAAGTAAATCCATGGCAGAAGTATCACACAGTTCATAGTTACGAATGCCTTGTCAATGCTTATGATTTACATAGAACTTAAAGATATGTATCTCTATCATGCAGTTCATATAGGGAACTTGATAAGAATAATTTGATTACATCACTGAGTCCAATTCAATGAATTTAGGGAAATCTAAAAGTTAATTTATGCTTCTCATGATTAATTTGGGGCATTTTCATTCATGGTTTAAAGGAATAGTAACTGGAAATCGATTTGTGTTGCATATGTATCATGTGTGGAGAAGGATTCTCTAGCTAGCCTTTCACCCATTCATTCACCCAAATTCATACCCTTTTACTTTGTTTTTGCAAGTTTGTTTGTTTTAAGTTTAAAATTCGTCCAAATAC